AACAATGAGGACTGATGAGAAGCCAAGGTCAATGACAAGGGGTTTTGATCCTACTTCATGTTCTGGCTTGGTGGGAGCCTAGCCAGTTTGGACGTTCACCTTCCTAGACATGGACGGAGGGGGGAGGACCTTGGACTTTCCACAGGGCAGGGAACCATGACTGCTCTTTGGATAGGAGAGGGAGGGGAGAGGAGTGGGGGGAGGGGGAGAAGAGAGGGGGGAGGGGGAGAAGAGTGGGGGAGGGGGAGGGAAATGGGAGGCTGGGAGGAAGCGGAAACTTCTTTTTCTTATTCTCAATAAAAAAAAAAGAAGGTCCAATTTTACCCTTTCCCTAACACCTTGTACATCACCATTTTCTTAGTCTGACTTGTCCACTGTGTTTCCTTCTGCAGAAGATAAACAAATGCATGTGCAGTCAGGATTTCCTACTCACAAGTTGCACATTTGTGGATTCAACAAAAGCTAATGAACATATTTTCAAGAGAAGGTTGCCTCTGGGGGCTAGGGAAATGGGTCAGCGGATGGCTTGCTACACAACATGAGCTCCTGAGTTTGATCCGTAGCATCCATATAAAAAGACAGATTTGGTAGTGTGTGCAATCCAGTACTGAGGAGGGGCAGACAGGAGAATCCCTGAGGCTCATTGGCCAGCCAGGCTAGCCAATTGGCAAGCTGCAGATTCAGTGAGAGGCTGGGTCTCAAACACATGCAGATGGAGAAGGAAGACATTTAATATTGACTTTTGGCCTCCGTGTGCATACACACACAGACACACACACAAAAGAGATTCTGTTGCACTCAAACCATGCAAACTTGGTTTGTTTGGGTTTTTGTCTCTTTTCCCTAAACAATGGTTTACCCACCACTTATATGGTATTTCCATTGTGCTGAGCATCATGAGTCATCTACAGAGGATGGGCGGATGTATCTGTGGTGTGGGTCAATAAAAATGCTACCTTTCAGAAATGCACTTGAGCACTGTTGGTTTCGTTTTCTAGGGGGGTTCGTGAGCCAGCACCCTACACATGGGAACAGCTGTCTGTCTTCTTTACTGACCCCTACTTCTTACCCAGAATGCCATTCACTCCTACAGAAACTTGTTCCTTAGCTTCAACAACAAATCCTGGAAATCTCTCCAAATTACTTCTCAGAAGTCTTCTTCCTTCCTAATGGTGGTGAAGAACCCTGTCACATAGGGAGGCCACACTCTACTCACTTGACCTCTTACAGGTCTTGAACTTAATTATTAAATCATAGTTATTACCTCAGCTATTTGTATATATAACAAGGCACACACCTGGAGGTCAAAGGACAATGCAGAAGTCATTTTTTCTACTATATGGAACCCAGGAATCAAACTTGGGTCATTAGGCTTAGAAACAAATGCTTTCATCCATTGAGCCATACCACCAGCCCCACATTTGACTTCTTTAAGTCGCCTACTGTGATAAATACTGCCAATGGGAACACCCTGCATGTGTGCATTTGTATGTCTGGAGGCAGGTCTCCCCGTAGTTCCTGGAAGTGGGCACACTGGGTCATCTTGGGTGTGGTTTCCCTCACTGGAGTCACATTTTTGTACTCCTGCTATGACATTCTCTTAAGAAGGCCGTCTTCTCCAGCTCTGCCCATGGCATACTGCTCATGGCATTCTGGTCTTCCAGGATGTGGGATGGCCAGTGAAGGGCTTGGCCCTAGAGCCAGAGATCAAGATGTCTAAATGCTTTCTTTAATTAAAAAAAAAAGCTGAATTTTCAGTTCTGCTGTGGCAGTAAGCTAGGCACTATGAAGATAAAGGTAGACATTTGATAAGTGTGCTTCTTAGGGCACAGTGGGTCCCTCCTTTGCAGGACACTGTCATTGGCCACCTATCCTCATCAGCAATTCTGAGGAAAAGGGACGCTGCACTCAGTCAATCATGTGTTTCCATCCTGCCCTTACCACCTCTGTGTTATATCCTTGATTGATTAAAGTGGGAAAGTGGAGGGGGACAGGAAAATATATAGCTGATTCCTTCTATTGTATAAGTTGCCAAAACAAACCAACAACAAAAAAAATCAGTGTATTGGAAAAACAAAGAATTGGGCTATTCTAGAAGTCACTCTTCATCTTTCGACTTTCCTAAGAAGCAGCTTCCTTTATGCACAGAAACATGCCAAACTTGTTTGCAGGTTCTTCCTCCCAGACACCACCGTAAAGCCCAATGGAGAGTCACCAGTAAGCAACTGTAACTCAAGATAAGCATCCTTTATTCACAAGTTATCAGCTTGATATACCTAATGTTATATGGGAAGAGGAAACACTTCCAAAAGCTTGACCTTAATTAGTGATTGATGTGGGAGGGCCCAGTCCATTGTGGGTGATGCTACCCCTGGTAGGTGATTCTGGGTTATCTAAGAAAGCAGGCTGAGCAAGCTAGTAAGCAGCATTCCTCAAGGGCCTGTTTCAGCTCTGCCTCCAGGTTCCTGTTTTGGGTTTCTACCCTGGTTTCTCCCAGTTAATGGAGTGTGACCTGAGAGTGCTAAGCTGAAATAAATTCTTTCCTTCTCAAGTTGCTTTTGGTCGTGGTATTTTATCACAACAATAAAAATCCTAACTAGGACAACAGAGTTTGGGAGGCCCAGGATGGTAGCTCATGATAACCTGGGCTATCTGAGACTCTATCTTAAAACATAATGAAAAGCAGCCTGGGAGATGGCTCAGTTGATAAAGTTCTTGCCTTGCTGAAGGGCTTGAGTTTAATCCCCTAAATCCATCTGTATAAAAAAGTCAAAAAAGTATAAAAATAAAACAAACAAAAACCAGTCAAGCACAATGGCATGCCCTTGAAATCCCAGTGCTGAGGATGTAAGGCTCCCCAGTCAGGTCCGTGGGGCTTACTGACCAGCCACCCTTTCCTAGTTGATGAGTTCTAGGCCAGTGAGAGATACCCTGACTTAAAAGACAAGGTGGCAGCACCTATGGATGACACATCTGTGCTGTGGGACAATGCTCTTGTACCCTGTAAAGATCGGTCACATGGCTAAACATAGATAAGAATTCTGGGTTAATTTAAGTTGAAAGAGCTAGTTAATAATAAGCCTGAACTAATAGGCCAAACAGTTTATAATTATTATAAACCTCTGTGTGTTTCTTTGGGACTGAACAGCTGTGGGACCAGGTGGGATAGAAACCTCTGTCTATTCCTCTGGCCTCCACAAGCATACCAGCTTTGTACATTCAAACACAGACACACACACACACACACACACACACACCACCCTACACATACAAATGCATATGTATACCTGTACATACATATACTCACACAAACTTGTAAACACACACACACAGTATGTGGAAAGTCAGGCATGATAGCTCACACCTGTAACTTCAGTAGTTGTAAAGTAGAGACAGGAGTATCAGCAAGAGTTTAAGGCTAGACTAGACACTATTTTAAAAATAAATAAGATAAAGCAATAAAACTATCAAACACTAATATGGGTGGGGCCAGAAGCTTTGGGATTTTAGAATTTTGGTGTCTTGGGAATGAGCTCAAGTATCTACATAAAATTCCACCTGAGTTGCACCCACAAAGTGATGGTAATTTGACAAGGGATAATTTGTGTACATACATCTTAGCAATGTCTGGCCCATGAGGTCAAGTGTGAAACTTTCCACTTGTGTCTAATGCCATCACTCAAATATTTGTATGTAGAACATGGGATTAAGATTTTCAGCATGCAGTAAAAGGGGAAGAGGAAAGAGCTGGATGTTTAAAGGAGAACTGCTAAAAAAAGAGTTTGGGGTTTGCCAGTTTCTGTGGGGTAAACACTCCCAATATGACTGATTTCCAGCTACCATCACTATGTTGTGGAATACAAAGTTAAGAAAAGGATTAACACACAGCTCTTGAAAGCCAGCGTGGGCCCAGGACCCCTCTACACTACTGGCTCTGAGACATGTGTTAACCCTGGCTTCTCCTGACCACAAGTGAGGTGGTCAGTCCACACTCACCTCTCTCAAAGGAATTCTTGATGTCATTGACTTCAACTTGAGACCCTGGAACTCTGAATATTCCCTGCTGCTGGAGTCCTAAAAAAGAAATAACAGCACAAGCAAACAGTAAATGTAAATAACACGAGGCCTAGACTTCATGTGGCCACTGGACTTACTGACAATTCTCTCCAGGGCTCATCTCTTTCTTTTCCCATCTTTTATGTAGCCATTCCTGGTGACAAGCTCCTAGTTGAAACCTCAAATGGGCCTTGACAATGAGCTACAGCTGGCAACTGGCTCCCTCCCACATGGGTAATCTCTGGCCTTTAGAAAACCTAAACTTCAGAGTACATCCTGGCCTGGGATTGGGGAGTCAGAGAGTTTGAGTCCATGGCTCAGTGGCAGAGTGCTTTGTCTTGTGGACACTAGGCCCTGGGTTAGGTCCCCAGTGCCAAAAATCAGTAAATACAATAAATTGGTTAGCTCCTATTAATATGAGCAGAATTGCTCATATTACAGTTCCAGCATTTTCAAGACTAAAACTGAGGCAGGAGGATTTTACAGAGTTCAAGGATAGCCAGGGCTACAGAATAACACCCCTTTCCAAGAAAGAAAAAATAAAAAGTGTGAACTCAATATTAAAAAGCAGCATGGCTGCTCACTCTTTCTTCCTTCCTTCCTTCATCTCTTTCTTTCCTTCTTTCTTTCTTTCTTTCTTTCTTTCTTTCTTTCTTTCTTTCCCTCCTTCCTTTCTTTTCCTTCCTTCCTTCCTTCCTTCCTTCCTTTTCTTTCTTTTTTTATTTTTTAGCATTTCTAAGAAACAATAGCAAAGCAGTGCAGTCCCTGATACCCGGCAGCTCTGAGGACCAAACAGTGACCCACACAATTGTAGGAACCAGAGGGCCAGCCTCTCTCAAATGGAAATTACTGCAGACACTGGGTACCTTTTCCTGTCTTAGGTAGAACAATTCTTCATGCTACAATTTATTGTTTCCCCTTAAAAGTAAGGACTTAGTAGACATTTGGCTAGGACATATTATGCGCTTTGGTTGTTAGTTTTTGGGTTTTTGCTTTGTTTTGTTTTTGTGTATTCATTTAAGCCTTCCACACTAAGGCTTAGCCACTAGAAGACCAGGGGCTGACACAACGAGCTTCTAAAACTCCTTCATGTGTCATGCTCACTGCTAAACAAGGTATGCACATGGATAGTAAGTTGTGACATGATATGGATGCCCAGGCTGACCTCGAAGTTACTAGGTAGCTCAGGCCAGCCTCCAACTCTCAGTGATCCTTCTGCCTCAGTCTCCCTAATGCTGAGATGAAAGGCATATACACCCACAAGTGTGGCTTTGTTTAGTATTTCTACTACCCCCAGAGCCCTCTCCCACCCTTCTGGGACATTATCCCTAACCACCACTGCCATTCTCCACTCTCCCCCACCCCAGCTGCATGGATGCTCTCCTTGGGGCTCTTCTCCCATTTTGGTCAAGCAGCCTACCCCCAAAGTCACTGTCTATACTTCTTTTAACTAGTCATATGGTAGAGTTACTATGAGGCATGATATTACAGTCTATTATATCCATGAGCTACTATATTTAGTGGCTCAAATAATAACAGCTTGAAAATTCAAGAAAAAGTTGTATCTGTATTAGATATGTATAGATATTGTTTTACTAGTCCCAAACAATATTACTATTTCCAGAGCATTTACATAGGACTTGGTCCTATCTGTCTCTCTGCGTGACTCACTGACTATGGGAAGATTACATGGGTGGTGGGTAAAAGCCATAGCATTTTATACACTGGACCTTAGATCTCCTGATCTGGCTGGCAGTCTGCAGGCCTATCTCTAATCCCTAGAGATGCCAAAGGGTGACTACAATTCTTTTTTCTGCTGTTGATTTCCTTGCTTTTGTGAGAATGTTAGGCCTGCAGGGACGACAAAGTGTTTGCCTCTATTGCTCCTGCATTCCTCACAGCCAAAATGGAGCCTGTTACGTTCTGAGGTGAATGAGTAAGTTAAACACAAGTTTGCCATGGTTAACAAATTCCCGACACCATTCCCTTCATGGAGTTTACAATCTATCAACCCTATTGACTGTAAGTGAGGACAGAGCTGGAATAGTCTTTCTGTCCATGTCATCAGTACTGCCCCGTGACCAGATGTGCTGGGCCCCTCACACAACCTTCCTTCTCTCACCCCGGACACAGACATGCAGACTCCAAAGACAGCGCTCTGAGTAACAGCCATTCCCTGGAGCAGAGTGAGGACAGGAAGTCTTCCAAGGTGACTGAGAATATAATTTTCTCCCAGAACAGGCCAGCACTATTCCACAGTGAACTGAACACACTGAGCTGAGATGGCACTTACCATATAAATTGATGAATCGGATACAGCTCTCGACTACAAGTGGTATAGCCTGTCCTGAATCCTTAAGAAAGACAAAAGAGAGTGAGTTTTATCAGGCTTGGCATCCAGCCACAGGAAGGACATCGCAAACACAATGATCAAGTCAAGCCAGAAGATTAGTACCACGTGATTAGTAGGAAACCAAGCAAGGAACTGCTAACTCTAGTCTCCAGGAATAGTTACCATACAGCCTTCGGTTAAGTGCAGAAGAAGGCATAGCTAGGATTAATTCAAAGAAATGCTCTCTCTTCTTACCCATCTGGCAAGGAACTGGGCTCAGCTTGACAGGCACACTGGGGGCAGGAGAGATGGAAGCCAGTGTGTGGAGGTGGCTGGAGTCTGACCTTGAAGGATGACCTGCCTTCTCCCAACTACACTTAGCCCAAACTCAGCATCTTTTCCTGGGGCTTGGGGATGAAGAGGCAGGATCAATGCCTTTCCCCATTACTGAGGTTGTCCCACGTCAGAACTGAGAACACATTTTGGGTGAGGAAGCCCTGTCCCTTACAAACCCTGGGAGGCTCTAAGAAGGGAAGGTGAATCTCAGTCATAATGTCTCAACTATCCAGGTAGTTTGCTTAACAGTAAGCAAGGTATGTGGAGAAGTTCTAGTAGATACTAATATCAGACATTGGCCATCTGATGGCCAACTTCAATTGAAAAGACTCAATGGGATGCAATTTAAATAGTTATGCATAGGATGTGAAAGGACATTCAATCACACTTTTCTAGATTAGTCTACAGTTTCTAGGGGTTGGGCAAGAGTCAGGTTTTTTTCAGAGTCCTAAAACTGGGTGGACTGTGTTACTTTACATCATGATGTTAGGTCACATCACGAGTATCATTTAAAAAACAAAACAAAACTTTCTTTTAAAAGGACCATATTAGATCACAAGCCTCCCCAGAAGGCTAGTAACTTGGTGGGCTCTTGGCTCTGCCACACCCCCCACCTGCTGATGCTGCATCTGGGGAGAGGATAGGAGACAGGCCCATCAAGCCACAGGGAATGTGGACATTCTCTAGAAGGCTTTGGATCTACTATTTGCATGGGGCTCATGGGCCTAGCTAGTAAATACCTGGTTCCTGGTTCGAGCATTTCTTCTTCCTCTGATAACAAAAAAAGAAACAGGCAGCAAAGCAGGAGAAAAAGAAAAGATTATGCAGGAGTAAGATCAGTTAGAGTATGCAGATCCTTCAGAGTCCGTGAATGCCAAAACGCAATGGCAGCCAGCAATGGTCCTGGTGCATTTGCCCATCAACCTGCCCACGGGGAGAAACCTCAGCCTTGGGGCCTCCTAGGACTTCTAAAGCAGTCCCCAGCCAGCCTTCCAATAGGCTGCCCAGCCTCTTTCTCAGATAGCAGCGATTCCTTGTCAATATGTAGGAAATGTGTGTTAACCTTGTTCCCAGATCCACATCTATTGTCTCCTCAACACAAGGGATTCATCAATGAGCGAGAGTTCACTGAAGACCTATAAGGTTAGCCCATTTGCCCACAGAAGGGATCTTTCATGTCTTTTGTAAGCTGGCTCCTAGAATTCATCTCTGGAATCCTCAATTCTTGGATAGATGTTCTACTTCATAAGATCTCCTTAGACAGGATGCAGCAGGTTGCATCAGATTCCAGACTCCAAACATACCCAATACCCTGATAAGCTTCTCTCAGTAGAAGCATGGCTCTGCTCCCCTTTCTAAACCCCTTACTGTCACCCTGGCACTGAAACCCTCTAGGAACACAGAAGCTGGTAAGAGTGGAGATGAGGGAGAGAGTAAGTTGGAACACCTTAGTGACTTTGAGGGTGCATTGAAGCCTTTGTCCCCACGTTGAGAGAGCCTGCCCGACTTTTCTGGTCACATGGACAGTGACTCAAGGGTCTAGGTGGGAGCTGAGTCTCACACAAGCTCAGTGAAGAAACCAAGCTGACTAACAGACACATGCCTTCCTAGGGCACAGTATGCCCAGTCCTGCCATCTCAACAACTGGGATCTGAGTCGCTCTGATGTCAGCTAAACCCTGAACCCAGTAACAGCCTGGTCCAAAAGGACTCGTGAGATGGTGTCCTAAAATTAATAATAGAGCAGGCTTAAACAGTGCCAGGCGTGATCTAGAAACATGCATGCATCAGCTCACTCTGTGCTCTCCTAAATCCCCAGGGTGTTTACTCACATTTCACAGGGCAAGAATGGGGACTCTCCTCCAGCCCCACAGTGGACCTTTGGGCTTTACCATGGACTATACTATAAAATAGAGTCTCCTTAAGAGGAAAAAAAAACACAGAGTTTTTGATTTTTATAAGGGGTTGGCTCAGGAAGAGCCCAGGAAGTTCAAAAGTCTAACTCCACAAATACTTCTCTATAATTGATGTGGGCTTCTCTCTTTGTCCTGCCTAGGTGTCATAATCGCAGCATCACAGTGGGATTATTTGATCAAAACTCTTCTTATAGGCCTGGATTGTCAAAGCCGAGGACTCCGCTGTACATTCAGACAGTGTGAGAATTAGGATAGAAGCTGAAATTCTCCTCTCGGCAGTGGAAGGAGTGGCTACAGATGCTGCCCTTCACTCTCTGGAATTCTTTAGAGTAAGTCTGTGTCATATGGAGCTTTGGCGAGTTTGCTCATAGTAGGTCCACAGCTGAAGTCCTCACTGATTGGAGGCAGCCTAAGTGCAGAGGGAGTATAAAGACACGCTCTTGTGTTCCACCAACCACCTTCTCTTCCCTAGTCAAATGGCTATTGTTCTTCCAAGTATTCTGCCATTCCCTCCCACAGAGCTGGCTCATCCCTCTTTGGAGATTTTCCTCAGAGCCAGTTGACCAGTATCACTGTACCACACTTCCTCTTGCCATTTCATCCCTTCAATGGTGCCACAAAGCTATGCTTCAACTGAAACATGTGTGTGCCATAGTGATGGTGGTAGGAGGGTATTCATGTTCATGTGTATGTGTTAGCATGTGCATGTGGTCAAAGGTCAACCTCACGTGTCATTCCTCAGGCACCAGCCACCTTGATTTTGGGCTCTTCAATTAGGTTAGGCTGGCTAGCCAGGGAGCCACTGGTATCCACCGAATTCCTTAGTACTAGGATTCCAAGTGTGTGCAACCATTCCCAGCGTTTTAACACAGGTTGTGGAGACTATACTCAGGTCCTCATGCTTGCATGACATGCCTTGTAATTACACTATCCCCGCAGCCTTGTGGTGTGGAGGTTTTAATTCTGGTGGACCAAAGTATCCATGCTAGCAGGAAGTTTTGGCACCAATGATAAAGGTTGTGTAACAGGCTCTAAAGAAGATTAGCCAAACACTACTGGGGCATGGTGATGTAGTAGGATAGTAAGATGGTTCCCAAAGTAACCACCTGAGGGGCAAACAAACACTCATGGAGTCAAATAAGGTCTAAAGTGTTGGTCAGGTGCATGGTCAAGTTGCTTTCTAGCCCCACTATGAAGATATTCAGTTCCACTAAAGATGTGATCTTCAAACAGTGTCAAGTAAGAGTCAGCCCCTTCCATGTATACGGACTGATCTCCCATTTCCAGAGATCAGAGAGACTCAGGGATGGAGTCCCCATCTCAGATCTCACTGCATCGTTCCCTCCAGGGTCTCCTGTCCTGCTCCTCTCTTATTCCTCCTCATCCTTTCAAAACCCTGGCAATGTCACCTGGGTCCCAGCTCACAGCTCTTCTTGCTCTGAATTGCAATAGCATGTTCCTGCAGGACTCAATTGCAATAGCATGTTCCTGCGGGACTGAATTGCAGTAGCATGTTCCTGTGGGGCTTCTCATGTGACTCTCCCTGCACTCGTGGCCCCTTGCTAGGCTCTGTAAAGACAGGAAATGATCAGCCAGCTCCTTTGCAGCCTGGAGAATGGCTCAGCCGGGAGCAAGGGGAAGTGAGAGGGAAAGGAGAAGACAGAGAGGTGAGGAGGAAACAAAGCATCCTTTTGACGCAGCCTCACCTGCCGTGACCACTGAGTGCTTCTCTACGAGTCACAATGTTCCCGAGGGACCTCTAATTTGGGGCCTTCAGTCCTACGAGGTATCCTAAGGCATCCCCCAACTGTCCTTGCTCAGGGGAAATCCCTCTTCTCTTTCTCTTCTATTCTGAGAACTCAGTCTACAGGCAGAGAGAGTCCTTTGATCTAGAATGGTCCTGCCTCCCCAATCCATCCCTAAGGCTGACATCTGCGTGTCTGTAGCCCTTCTCTGTCCTCCAGGTCTAACTGCACAGAGGACAGAGGACAGAGAGCTGGTGCATGGGGCAGCCCCTGTAACTCCCAAATCATCACTGATGCCGCGAGACGCCATCCTTCCCCTGACCTACACCAGCCCTTTTTTTCTGTAGAAATTGTCTTCACTGGCTGGGGGGTGGGGGTGGGCTTTCAAATAACTGGTGAAGGCCTCTCATCCTCTTTCTCCAAGAACACATCTTGACTCTAACACCATCTTTGCCTTATTCAGTTTGATCCTGAACGACACTGGGGGGTGAGGACAGAAAAAAACCCACTTAAGCTGAAAGATTTAAATATTGAGCCCAAGCTCAATGTCCAGGGTTAACCTGACATGTAGAAGGACTACCTCAACTCTACTCCCGCCTTTCAAATCAACCATCCAGAGCTAAATTAAGCGAAAGGAACTCTTCTTATGAAAACTCAATGGCTTCCCATGCTAGCAGAGACTCAGCTACCAAACTGTAGCTGCCTCGTATGGAGACCCAGAGGGGCTGTCTTTGTGTTGTTCTTCATCAGTCTCCTGTTGCAGGAGGAGGGGGTGGAGCTGAGTGATAGTTTCCTCAACTGCCCTTCGGGTGTTAGGACTGCAGCTTCGGCAGCAACGAGGCCAGCTGGCTGGGACCACTGTGCTGACTGCCGGTCCACCTCTTCTGTGCTGAAATGATCGGACCCCTCCCCCATGCGGCTGAGAACGATGGACGGCCACTTAGCGGCCACTGGTCAGAAGCACAGTTCTCCAGTGGAATGCCTCACTGAAGCCAAGAACAGACTGCAGTGAGAAGCTACTAGCTCCATGGGGTCTGGCTAAGGGGTTGACAGGGCTGTTAGCTGGAGGGGGCAGGGAGAAGAGAGGCTGCCATTACGTTGGACTCATTCGCGGACTCCATGGCTCCCCAGCAAGTACCTTAATGAACGCTTCCATACTGCCGTTAAAGAGCTTATGGCTATACACTGAAAGAGGCCTAGGTCTCCTCATTTTCTGTGGTTTAGGGGGAAGGCAGGGGGGCCTAGGGGAAAACGGAACAAAAGAAATCAAGAAAGCAACCAACATAAACATACCACTGGGGGAGATGCTCTTCCAAACCACAACGGGAGGAGAACACAAAACACAGCAGGGAGCCTCTGGCCTCCAACACACTGGTTTCCCAAGTTCCATCTGAAGGGCCTCTGGATGTTTCAGGTCTTAGTTTACCCACAATACCAAGCAGGAGCAACTCTCACAAAACACAAACGCATTCTACATCACAGGAAATGGGATAAATCCAAGAAGCGCCTGCAATGCCAATCAGAGGCTGGCATCCTGCAGACCAGATGGAGGTGGGTCAGGGGAGGGAGGTGTCATCTGTAGCCCAGGAAAGCAAGAAACTTTCGAACATAACCGAGAAGGTTTATTTTTGTAATTTCAGCTTAAATCTATCACCAAGGCCCAACTCCCAATGTACTGGGTGCACTGTCTTCCTAATGTCTCTTGACATTTCAAAGGAATATGACTCATGTTTATTGCATAGATCTGAGAGCCAGACAGCTAGATGCCAGGAGGCAAGCTGCAGCTTCTTTGGGATCCGTAGGTGGCCTGGGATGTTATTATCCCACTCATCAATCGAGTACATTTTCGATTGGAGCACTGTCAAATCCATGATCACACTTACCCCAATATCTTCCCATTGCACACGGTTCTATTCTATAGAAACCAGGCCTAGAGAGAGCATCACATCCACCTCTAGCCCCCTCCCCCTCCAAGCCCAGGGTTTTTGCTGTTGTGGTTGTTTGTGGGGAGGGGTGTTTTGTTTCTTTTAATTTCAAGTCATGGGCGCGGCCCTAGGACATCTTGTCATTTCTAACTGCAGACTCATCTGCCTCGTCAGTCCTTGCCAGAGGGATCAGGTTGAAAGTGTCTTGCTTTGCTTTCAGATCTCCATTCCCTGTGTTCTGCTGTTTATCCACAGGGAGGAGAAACCTTATACCACAATCCACCAGGAACAATGAAATGGCCACAGGCGCTAGACCCGTGTCCATAGCTGCTCGCCATGCATAGACCTGGGTTGGCTTGTTTGCTCATTTCACTATATAAAACTGGCCTGATTCAGTGCTGCTGGTCTTCAGGGAAAAAGGTTTTAGAAAGTTAGGAGGAAGCCCCCTTACCAAACGAGGCAGTTCATTTTCAAATGGTTTGGTTCAAACTTTGGAAGCAATAAGTACATACTCAGCCAGGCAGATAATAATGGTCATGTATGAGAAGCAAAGTCTTGCCCTTTCCCTATGTCTTGACTGATTTCTGTACATGGGCAAGAATCTTCTATCTGTTTTTGTTTGTTTCTAAGACAGCGTCTCATATAGTCTAGGGTGGCTTCAAACTTGCTATGTAGCCAAGTATGACCTCACACTCCTCATCCTCCTGCCTCAGTGCTGGGATTACAGGCATGCACCTGCACGCTGGGTTTTATATGATGCTAGCAATTGAAGTCAGGGCCTCATGCATGTTAAGCAAGCATCCTATCAACTAAGGTACATGCCCAGGCCACAGGCAAGAATCATATGGACTGTAGAACCAATCAAGACGAATGAGGGTTGCCCTGCCTCTCTCCCTTGGGTTTAGGGTCATGACCCTTAGCAGTCCAGCCATGCAGGCACTCCAGCCAAGTCCTCCTGGATGGTTAAGTGTTGAGCAAGGCTGCAAACTCCAGGACATGCATGGGCAAAGGCACAGTTAAGTCCAAATAGCATGCCACCCAATCAAGGGAACCAAAAGAACAACACGACCAAAAATTTGAAGAGAAACAACAGGCAAGAGTATCTCCAGCCCATCTTGGATCTGTGTGGATTTGGTTAGCTAAGTCCGTGTCATTTCCTTTCAAAGTATATTACATCTTTTTTTTTTTTTTTGAGGATGCATGAAATCAGGGAGGGGATCTCACACAGGGGATCTGCTTTTGAGTTTTCAAATGTAAAAACTGAAAGAAATGAGCGTCAAAAAATGTGACGCAAAACCATAGGATCCAAATTTAGGGATTAGGGATAAGGAGGACAGCAATGTTGTCACTTGTTTTCGTAGTATTTTGGACTCCAGGGCCACTTCTTTATCTCACATTGCAGGAGCCTGGGAGGCAAAGGAGCCCACAAGAGATTAAGAAATTTGCCCAAGGCCACACAAATGAGATCCTTCAAGAACTGGGAGTTGAATGTAGTTCTTCCTACTAGAGGCTCCAGCACAAGTATGAAGTTGAGAGAGTGATCTTGCCAACTGTCTATTAAGTCCTCATGGCCGGCAAGAGTGGGGATCTTAGCACAGGTACTAAAATACAGAATCAAAAGCTCCAGGGCACCCAGGTTGAGGGTTTTCAAAAAAAAAAACCTCATAAGAGTTTCTGGGTTTTGTTCTTTGAATTTTTTTTATGGAGTAGAATAAAAGGAGATAAATGTAGAGTGTGCTTCCCCGTTTTCTTTGCCAAACCCAGGGTGTAAAAGAAAATGAAGTCTCAATGGCCATCCTTTTGTCGTTCCCCCCTCCCCCACCATGGTGCACTGGGCACTGCCTGGAATCTCTGACAAGGAAACATAGCTATCCCAACTTTGAACAACATCAAATCTGTGTCGACTTACGGGAATGCTGGGTGGGGCACAAAGTGGGGAGCAGGGGGACAGCTCAGCCAAGGAAAGTGGGGCAGCCTAAGCCTTCCATCTCTTCTGCCGCTCAGACGCAGAGCAAAAACAAAAGGGAAGAAAGAGAAAAGCAGGGAAGACAGGAACAGAGACGGCCACAGAGGGGAGGGCAAGGAAACCAGAGACCAATGTCCCCTTTCAGCCTCTCAGCGGGAATGAAACTAGCACATGCTGGCAACACAGGCGCGGCCTCAGAACTAGTCTGTGACAAAGAGCAAGGGATTGAGAATTTCCCTAAACACTCAACAGATGTGAGTATCAGCATCTAAACCGGTGGCAACACTGATGATCGAGGGCGGGTAAGCTCTTGGGCGCTGTGGTTGCATAGCAGGGGCTGGGCTGTACCTGATGGTGATGCTATCAACTAGTTCCCTCTACTCAGGACTAGTGCCTCTTGTCAACCTGGTGAAGGAGACCAACCTCTCTTCAAAACATGATTAACAACTGGTGTTTACATCCCATACTTGGCCATTTTTTTAGCAATTCTTCAAAATACATTAGCACATCTGGTCAGCCTAAATCCCAGGGCTAGGATGTTCTGAGGCTATTCAAAACTATGGCTTATACGTGTGAGAAAAGGGCCATTTAGACGAGGGCAAGAGGAACTTGGCCGAGGGACCCTATCTGATGATGGTCCCAGATGACTTTGACTGTGTGTGAGAATCTACAGTCGGCACAGACAAGGTGCGGAGACATTGTCAAGGGCCTCTAAGACTTAAAAACGCTTTCAGATGGACAATGAGGTCCACAAGTTTAATAATGAGCCAGAAAGTATCTGGCTAGGTCTGCAATTTAGGACAAGATGTCTAAGTGGAGATCCAACCTGAACTTGGATTTCCCAGGCCCTAGGTCAAAACAGGTGAGGAAGACAATATTTCAGGGATGGATATATATATAAAGGAGGGGTGAACCTGAGACCTGGACAAGAGATCTATCGTGGCTCCTCCCCCCACCATCCTCTGGAGCAATCTCCTTCTCCCTACATCTTGGAGATCAGGAGGCAGTGAGCCATGGCCCAATTCTTCCCACTTTGGTATAAAACAGAGCTTCTGTCCTCTTAGAGAATCTCTTATCCGAAAGAAAAAAAAAAAGTAACAGATTTGGGTTCCTCAAAAGTGACCTGCACATCTGCTGTTCCACATGTGGGAGGGTCCTTGTCTGTGAGTCATCTCAGTGTTCCCAAACTGCCTGGGCCCAGAGGCACAGCTGGATTCCTGGAAAGCCCTAAACCTTCACAGCTTCTCAAGCCTTGGCCACGCCTACGTGCTTCCCCAGGAGCAGGGGAGAGTTGAAGGGTCATCTTTGCTCTTGCCAAGTGGGACAGCTTTTCAGGATTCTGAGCCATCGGGGAGAATTCGTTTGGAAGGAAAGAGTGTCATTGGGTGACTGAGCCCCACTGACTGAGGGAAGAAGTAGCTCCCAACTAAAAATTAGCCATAGATGATAAACGGCAGACCCCTGGGCCATTGCTAGCTCATGGTGAAAACTCAGACACCAGGGCAGTGCTGGCTGCTGAGGCATCTGAAGCCTAGGAAAGGCTGAAAGCTGCTGGGTGACAGTGGTCACTGGCTCTGATGTGCTCAGCACAAAGGGAGTTGTAAGGGGAGGCGTGAGTTGCCTATGTGACTGGCCTCACCAGCCCATCCAAGTTCCCGCTAAATTTCAAGCCAAATATGATGGGCAGTGCAGGGAGGGAGGGTGTAATCTGGGCACATGTCCATGTGTATGCAGCATGCGCGTGACCATCTGTGCACAAAACCAGCCAACCCCAAAGCCTTAGCAACTGAGGACCCAGGGTGGCCCTGGATGACCTATAGGGCAGTTTGGGCAGTGGCCATGTAACAGATCCAAGTGAAGAAAACAGCTGCCCTACAGCCTGTGGCTCCTGCTAGTGACTTTAGATACCCTGGAATCAACTACCCTCCCACTGAACAGGGGCATGTCCCCACTGCCCCAAAGCAGCTATGCAAGCACCCTCCTTGTGGCCGGCCTTTGCCAGTCTAAAGCGAAAACGAGCAATGTTGCCTCAGTAGCCACGGAACCCTCCCCCACTGGTGAAAACTATCCAGCTTCCCTAGCTCCCAGGAGGCTACGTTCACTTTACACATCTACCCACCCACTGCATCCTCTCAGACTCCAGGCAGCCAATACAAGGACACAAGATTCCCCAACTCTCACCTGGTTGTGCCGCACTCTGCTCTCTCCCCTGGGGAAAGAAAACAAAATTGCATGTTGGTATTTAATTGGCTTTGGTTGTTTTAGCCAGAGAACTTTGTTTCCCCTTAAAATGACGACAATATCAGAAAGATTTCATGTGCCCATCCTACAGTTGTTCTTTATCCAGCCTCCTGCCCCAGGCAACTGCTAATTTCCCTGTCTTTGCAGGATTGATAGGCATTTCCTAGAAAGAAAATCACTCTCCTTGTGGTTTCTCTCGTGAATCTGGCTTCTTTATCTTACCATAATCTGTCTGTGGTTCATCCATAGATCATGATTCAGAAGTTAGTTTATTTTTTTATGGCAGAATAATATTCCACTGTGTGGACAGACCACAGTTTCCTTACCTACTTGTCAATAACTACCTTTTGTGTAAGAGGTTCCTCAAAGTTTGAAGCATTGTTTCCTGCATGGAAGCTCCTTAAGAAGGAAGGCAAACAAAGTAGATTCAGGAAGCCACTGAAACTGAGCAGATTCACTAGGCCCCTCCTGCTGGAGCAAATATAAAAGCTGAGAGTCCCTCTTAGCCTGGAAGCCAAGCTGCAAAAAAGACTTGATTGAGACCAGACCAGCTGCCTGGAAGAAGCAGAAATCAGCAAGCTTCTTGGAAGAGGTTTAGACCAACGGAGGCACCTGAAAAGGACACTAACACCAGCTATGTGACCTGTTACCTGATCTGGGGTGGGCCTTGTGATGCAGCTGTCTTTGAGCAATATCTGCCCCTATAAGTAACCCCTCACCTATATTCCTGTTAGTAACCCCAATAAAACTCATAGTTTACTAAGACAGACTTTGGTCTGCCACGATAGCCTTATATGGGTTGAGTCACACAATGCTACCCAACAAAGACCGCATACTTTAAATGTTCCCCAAAAAGCTCTTCCCAAGTCCCCAAACTATTCCCATATAAGTCTTCAACAATACCTATACCTTACTAACTACCAAGGTTTGAATATTGTTTGGCCTTAAGTATGAACTCAATAAATATTTACTGAATGGGTAAGTGAAGGAGGAACTCCAGTGACTATAATAGTGTGCAAACAAGTATATCCTGCAATAGGGTAACAAGTGTCACAGCATCATTATACATGGAATACCATCCCTGGAATAGCAGACAAGCAAAAAGATCAGAGCAGACAGAGTGACTAGCTCCAGTTCCTGCTGAAGGGCAGCTTAGATTCCAACCTAAGTTGTCTGACTTTACATCTGCAAACCTGGTTCCACCCACACATACAGGTGAGGGAAAGCAGATAGAATTTGTCTCAAACCCAATTACTTATAAAGGTGGTACTTGGCTTTTTAACAGTAACCCTTCTTCTAGGCTACAGAGATACCTCACCTTAGAAGATTCTCCCTAGCAGGGATGGCGTGCTAAAAACAAGGCGATAAACAGTATCTCCTTCTCCCACAAAACTTCACTGACAATGCAGAGGTCCAAGTCCTTGTATTAAATTTTATCAAGTCACTGTGTAATCACACACAGTGATACTGATATATACATACACATACATATCAGTAATAAGCAAGAGACTGTATATTCTCTTCCCTGTGAGCTAATTCTTCAGATTCTGTTCATTTTGCTCATCTCAATGAACATGATCACATGACAATCCATGTTCCAAGTGTTCAGTGGCCAGTGTGTGATGTGGGATTCCCCTCTGTATGCTGTGAATACCATTGGTTAAATAAAAAATCTGTTTTGGGCCTGTGATAAGGTGGAACAGAGCTAGGTGGGGGAAAACTAAATTGAATGCTGGGAGAAAGAAGGTGGAGCCAAGAGAAGCCATGTAGCCCTGCCAGAGACAGACGTCGGAACTTTACCTGATAAGCCACAGACATGTGGCAATACACAGATTAATAGAAATGGATTAAATTAAGATGTAAGAGTTAGCCAATAAGAAGGTATAGCTAATGGGCCAAGTAATGATTTAATTAATATAGTTTCTGTGTGATTATTTCAGGGCTGAGCAGCCGGGAACAAACAAGTGGCCCCTTACAACAAATTAGTGCCAACAAGGCCAACTGAAATCCATTTAAAACCTGAGAGATATTACAAATAATGCTGCTATGAACATAGTTGAACAAATGCCCCTGTCATATGATCGGGCATCTCTTGGGTATATTCCCAAGAGTGGCATTGCTGGGTCCAGGGGTAGGTTGATCCCGAATTTCCTGAGAAACCGCCACACTGCTTTCCAAAGTGGTTGCACAAGTTTGCATTCCCACCAGCAATGGATGAGGGTACCCCTTTC